AACTTTGACTACAAAACTGATACACATATATAGACAGCATAATCATAACCAGCAAACCATAACCTTGTCCTAGACACCCCATTTGACCCCCTTTATACAAGATTTGGGTGCCACTACAGGACCTTGGTTGCAACAATGATCTATATAGTCCCAGTTTATGTCAATAAAGTCACATGGAGTAACAGCTTCGTATCTCTGGAGTAGTAGCATGTGTCTTTGGAGTACATAGTACTAATGTAGTGTTGCTGGAGTAACAAAATACTAACAATTATAGTGTTTCTGGAGTAACGGTGTCATATCCCTGGAGTAACAACAGAGTAACAGCATAATGTCTTTGAAGTAACAATGTGCTAATGGCATAGTATCTCTGGAGTAACATTATAATGTCTCTGGATTAATGATGTACTAACTTTGTAGTATCTCTGGAGTAGTGGTGTAGTATATCTGGAATAACAATGTACTGACAGTTTGGTATCTCCAGAGTAATGGTATAGTATCTTCAGAGTAATAATGTAGTATCTCCCAAATAATGGTGTTGTGTCTCTAGAGTAACAGTGTACTGACAGTGTGGTATCTCCAGAGTGACGATGTAGTATCTCCAGAGTACCGGTGTAGTATCACTGGAGTAATGGCATAGTATCTGGATTGGAGGGGGGAGGGTGGTATTTGGCTCCCACGCACCCCTCACTCTGGCTTCCTCTGACTTCCAGAGCTGTCACATTGAAGAAGGTGAAGAGGAAGGTGGTGAGAAAGATGAGGAGGAGACCGAAGGCTCATTTGAGGTAGGTGATCCCCTCCCTACCTCCGGTCCTGGCTCCAGCCCCTGCCTGCGCTGACCCTTGTGTCTCCACCCCGCAGGAGAAGGAGATGGAGAAGCAGAAGCTGCTCTACCAGCAGTCACGGCTGCACAACCGCGGGGCGGCCGAGATGGTGCTACAGATGATCAGCGCCTGCAAAGGTGAGATCGGACCCTCGCAAGGGGAGGGACAGCGGGGCGGCTTGATGGGGGGCTGGCAGGTTGCGGGGTGAGCCATATGCCAGGCTGGTAACCAGCGTTGCCTTGGTTGTCGGCAGGGGAGCCAGGCGCCATGGTGTCCTCCACCCTCAAGCTGGGCATTTCCATCCTGAACGGAGGCAACGTGGAAGTGCAGCAGGTACGGCCGGGCCGGCGTCGCTCCCAGGACCAGGTCCCCAGCACTTCGCTCAGTTCTTACACAGGCCAAGCTCCCGCTGAGACTCAGAGTAACGGCTGAGTCACGGCCGAGGAGCTCGTCCACCTGCTGAGTAACCAGCCAGTCATGTCCAAGTAACACTGAGTACCAGGTGAAGGAGTGTGGGGTAAAGAGGGCTTATGCCCTGAGTAACAAGGGGAGTATGCAGTGAGTAACGGCTCAGTAATGAGTGAATGTGCACTGAGTAATGATGGAGAACATGCTGTGTAATGGCTGAGTAACAATGGAGTAAGTGCTGAGTAACTAATGGGTACACACGGAGTAATGAGGGAGGATGTGCTGAGTAGCTAACAGGCATGCAGAGTAACAAGGGAGGACGGGCTGAGTAACGAGAGAGGACAGGCTGAGTAACAGGCTGGGTAACAAGGGAGGACAGGCTGAGTAACGGGCTGAGTAATGAGGGAGGACAGGCTGAGTAATGGGCTGAGTACTGGGCTGAGTAACGAGGGAGGACAGGCTGAGTAACGGGCTGAGTAACGAGGGAGGACAGGCTGAGTAATGGGCTGAGTACTGGGCTGAGTAACGAAGAAGGACAGGCTGAGTAACAGGCGGAGTAATGAGGGAGGACAGGCTGAGTAACGGGCTGAGTAACGAGGGAGGACAGGCTGAGTAACTAACGAGTATGCCGAGTAACGAGGGAGTAGTTGCTGAGTAGCCACTCAGGGCCGCTGCCTTTGTCCCCGCAGAAAATGCTGGATTACCTGAAGGAGAAGCGGGAGGTGGGTTTCTTCCAGAGCGTGCAGGCCCTGATGCAGACCTGCAGGTGAGCGGGACCGTCCGTCGTGTGTCCCCGTCTGTCCCGGCCTGCATCCCTTCCTCCCGCCCCGCAGGCCGAGCTGGTCCCTGCCGGCCTCCTTTTCCTCCCTGCGTCCAGCCCGTCTCCATCTCTCCTTTTACCCCCTTTTGGTGCCAGCTGTTCCCCCTCCCTGCCCTGTTCCCACAGGGAGCCAGCCGTTGGGGGGACCCCCAGGGGAATCGATCCCCTTTGCCCAGAGCGGCATTGCACAGCCCTGCTCCCCATCCCCCAGTGGGCCGGGGCGAGCGCCCAGTGGCCCCCTGCTCCGTACCCCCGGGGGGGGCTGGGCTGTGTTAGGCTGTGGGCCCCTCCATCGTGGGGGGTGGAGGGTTGATGTTGATGGCAGGGTCACCCCACTCCCCTCCCCCCCGGCCTCTCCTGACCCCCATTTCTCCCTGCAGCGTCCTGGACCTCAACGCCTTCGAGCGGCAGAACAAGGCCGAGGGGCTGGGCATGGTGACAGAGGAAGGAACAAGTGAGTCCGTGCTGCCCCCAGACCCTGCAGATCTCTGCCCCCCATTCCTCACCGGCCCAGGCCCCCCCACATCTCAGCCCCAGACCCTGCAGATCTCTGCCCCCCATTCCTCACCGGCCCAGGCCCCCCCACATCTCAGCCCCAGACCC